GTGATTTTCAGGATGATTTTGGGGTGACTCTGGGATGATTTTTGGGGTGATTCTGGGATGATTTTTAGGGTGACTTTGGGATGATTTTGGGACGATTTGTGGGATGATTTTCAGGATGATTTTGGGGTGATTCTGGGATGATTTTGGGATGATTTTTGGGGTATTTTGGGGTATTTTGGGTGACTTTGGGATGATTTTGGGGTGATTTTTGGGGTGATTTTCAGGGTGATTTTGGGGTGACTTTGGGGTATTTTGGGGTGACTCACCAGGTTCTTGGTGGTGATGTTGAGGGCGCGGCAAACGAAGTCCAGAATGTCCTGAACTGGGACGGTGACCGGGGCCACGAAATCCTTACTGGGAACGGGGAGAGGGTCACTGGGAGGGACTGGGAGGGACTGGGAGAGGGTTTGAGGTCACTGGGAAGGACTGGGAGGGGATTTGGGGGGTCCCAGAGTGGATTTTGGGAAGGATTTTGGGGTTTTTGGGGCTCCTGGCTGGATGCGAGGGGGAATTTTGGGGTCCCAGGGGGGATTTTGGGGTGAATTTCAGGGATTTTGGTACCCGAGGAGCCGCCTGAGGACGCGGCAGAGCCCCCAAAATCTCGAGTGCAGGGTCAGGACCCCCCCCAGGTGGGTTTTGGGGGGATTGGGGGGTTTTGGGGTGGATTTTGGGGGGATTTGGGGGAATTTTGATGGGGATTTTGGGGTTTTGGGGATTTTGGGGTGAATTTCAGGGATTTCGGTACCTGAGGAGCAGCCTGAGGACACGGCAGAGCCCCCAAAATCTCGAGTGCAGGGTCAGGACCCCCCCAGGTGGATTTTGGGGGGATTGGGGGGTTTTGGGGTGGATTTTGGGAGGATTTGGGGGGAATTTTGATGGGGATTTCAGCGTTTGGGGATTTTGGGGTGAATTTCAGGGATTTTGGTACCTGAGGAGCCGCCTGAGGACGCGGCAGAGCCCCGAAAACCTCGAGTGCAGGGTCAGGACCCCCCCAGGTGGATTTTGGGGGGATTGGGGGGTTTTGGGGTGGATTTTGGGGGTTTTGGGGGAATTTTGATGGGGATTTTGGGGTTTTGGGGATTTTGGGGTGAATTTCAGGGATTTCGGTACCTGAGGAGCAGCCTGAGGACACGGCAGAGCCCCCAAAATCTCGAGTGCAGGGTCAGGACCCCCCCAGGTGGATTTTGGGGGGATTGGGGGGTTTTGGGGTGGATTTTGGGGGATTTGGGGTGAAGATGTGAGGAATTCTGGGTGGATTCTGGGTGAAATTTTGGGTGGGATTTGAGGAATTTTGGGGAATTTCAGATGGAATTTGGGGAATTTCAGATGGAATTTGGAGGATTTTGGTGGAAATTTTGGGGATTTTGGGTGGAATTTGAGGAATTTTGGGGATTTCGGGTGAAGTTTTGGGTGGGATTTGAGGAATTTTGGGGATTTTGGGTGGAATTTTGGGTGGGATTTGAGGAATTTTGGGAATTTTGGGTGGAATTTTGGGTGGGATTTGAGGAATTTTGGGGATTTTGGGTGGAATTTTGGGTGGGATTTGAGGAATTTTGGGGATTTTGGGTGGAATTTTGGGTGGGATTTGAGGAATTTTGGGGATTTTGGGTGGAATTTTGGGTGGGATTTGAGGAATTTTGGGGATTTTGGGTGGAATTTTGGGTGGGATTTGAGGAATTTTGGGGATTTTGGGTGGAATTTTGGGTGGGATTTGAGGAATTTTGGGGATTTTGGGTGGAATTTTGGGTGGGATTTGAGGAATTTTGGGGATTTTGGGTGGAATTTTGGGTGGGATTTGAGGAATTTTGGGGATTTTGGGTGGAATTTTGGGTGGGATTTGAGGAATTTTGGGGATTTTGGGTGGAATTTTGGGTGGGATTTGAGGAATTTTGGGGATTTTGGGTGGAATTTTGGGTGGGATTTGAGGAATTTTGGGGATTTTGGGTGGAATTTTGGGTGGGATTTGAGGAATTTTGGGGATTTTGGGTGGAATTTTGGGTGGGATTTGAGGAATTTATCCCTCACAAACCACCCCAAAAGATCCCAAATCCCCCCCAAACCACCCCAAATCCTCCCCAAATGACCCCAAATCCCCCCCAAATTCCTGCAGCAGCCCTCACCAGTCTCGCAGCCCTCGAAGAGCGCCCCCAGCAGCCCAGGACCCCCCAAATCCCTCACAAACCCCCCCAAAAGATCCCAAATCCCCCCCAAACCACCCCAAATCCTCCCCAAATGACCCCAAATCCCCCCCAAATTCCTGCAGCAGCCCTCACCAGTCTCGCAGCCCTCGAAGAGCGCCCCCAGCAGCCCGTGCAGCGTGGCCAGCACCCCCTGCAGCTGCTGGTGCCAGCACTCCGTGTGCCGCAGCCCCTGCGAGAAACCGCGGCCCAGCGCCGGCAGCAGCGCGTAGCACTCGCAGGCCAGCTGGGAACGGGAAAAACGGGGTCAGGAACCCCAAAAACGGGACTGGGACCCCAAAAACGGGACTGGGACCCCAAAATTCTGATTCAGGACACTCAAAAACCCCCAGCAACTGCCCCAAAACCACCCCAAAACTGCCCCAAAACCCCCAGAAACTGCCCCAGAATCCCCGGCCCAGCGCCGGCAGCAGCGCACAGCACTCGCAGGCCAGCCAGGAACGGGAAAAACGGGGCCAGGAACCCCAAAAACGGGACTGGGACCCCAAAATTCTGATTCAGGACACTCAAAAACCCCCACAAACCGCCCGAAAAACCCCCAAAACCCTCCCAAAACTGCCCCAGAATCCCCGGCCCGGCGCCGGCAGCAGCGCGCAGCACCCGCAGGCCAGTTGGGAACATACAAAAACGGGGTCAGGAACCCCAAAAACAAGGTCAGGAACCCCAAAAATGCAACTGGGACCCCAAAATTCTGATTCAGGACACTCAAAAACCCCCACAAACTGCCCCAAAACCACCCCAAAACTGCCCCAAAATACCCCAAAACTGCCCCAGAATCCCCGGCCCAGCGCCGGCAGCAGCGCGCAGCACTCGCAGGCCAGCCAGGAACGGGAAAAACGGGGTCAGGAACCCCAAAAACAAGGTCAGGAACCCCAAAAATGAGGCTGGGACCCCAAAATTCTGATTCAGGGCCCCAAAATCCCCCCAGAAACTGCCCCAAAATCCCCCAAAACTGCCCCAGAAGCCCCAGCCCAATGAGCAGCACTCGCAGGCCAGCTGAGAACGGGGAGAAACGGGGTCAGGACCCCCAAAAAATGGGGTCAGGACCCCCAAAATTGGGGTCAGGAACCCTAAAAATGGGCCTGGGACCCCAAAAATGGGGTCAGGAACCCCAAAAACGGGACTAGGACCCCAAAATTCTGATTCAGGACACTCAAAAACCCCCACAAACCGCCCGAAAAACCCCCAAACCCCCCAGAAACTGCCCCAGAATCCCCGGCCCAGCGCCGGCACCACCGCGTAG